ACACCTCCTGCCGAGAGGTTCAGGCTTTGATATTGTGTCCCACTAGGGAACTGGCGGCACAGACGGAGAAGGTGATATTAGCAATTGGAAATCACATGAACATACAAGCGCATGCTTGCATCGGAGGCAAAAAGCGTGGCTGAGGATATTCGAAAGCTTGAGCACGGAGTTCATGTGGTGTGTGGAACTCCAGGTAGAGTCCATGACATGATCAAGAGGAGAAGTCTGCGTACTCGAGCCATTAAAATTACTATTCCTCGACGAATCTGATGAAATGTTAAGCAGATCATTCAAGGATCAGATTTACAATGTCTATAGATATCTTCCACCTGAACTACAAGTCTGCTTAATTTCCGCTACGCTTCCTCATGAAATCCTGGAGATGACGAGCAAGTTTATGACGGACCCTGTAAGGATCCTTGTCAAGCGTGATGAGTTGACTTTGGAGGGAATCAAGCAATTTTTCGTTTCGGTTGAAAGAGAAGAATGGAAATTTGATACGCTGTGCGATCTCTATGACACTCTTACAATTACACAAGCTGTTATTTTCTGCAACACAAAGCGAAAGGTGGATTGGCTGACAGAAAAGATGCGGAGTAATAACTTTACTGTATCTTCCATGCATGCAGACATGCCTCAAAAGGAAAGAGATGTCATTACCCAAGAGTTTCGTGCAGGAAATACTCGTGTCCTGATCACCACTGATGTTTGGGCTCGGGGCCTCGATGTTCAGCAGGTAAGTTGATCTAATTTCTTTTAATACCTTGACAGACAAGTTCCTATGAATTTTAGGGGAGCTTGTGCTATGTGTGACTGTGAATATATATGTTATACATACATGTTTTGGATGAACAGCTTTTTCTAATATGTTGATGTTTTCCCCTTCATCAGGTTTCCTTGGTTATCAACTATGATCTTCCAAACAATCGAGAGTTATACATTCATCGGATTGGTCGTTCTGGTCGTTTTGGGCGCAAGGTATGTGTGCATGTACTTTTAATTTTTATTATGTCATATGTTTTTGTCGATAGATCTCATATTGTATCTGTGCTTGTTATCGCAGTATGTATGCCAAAACATATTCTTTTAGTCTTCGTTTCGTTAAGTTTATGTTTTTTCAGGTTCTCATCATAATATGCTACAATTTGATTATTCTTTGCAGGGTGTGGCCATAAACTTTGTCAGAACCAATGATATCAAGATCTTAAGAGACATCGAGCAGTACTACAGTACCCAGATTGACGAAATGCCGATGAACGTTGGTGATTTGATATGAGAGCTCTGTTGCTGTCCATCGTCATCGTCATAATTCGATATATTATAGTTATATATACTTATGTTAAATGTATTACGCCACATTAATTCGTTGACAACCGTATGGGTTTTGAATTTGATATTTCGGAACCTAAGCTACAATTTTGCGAGGTTCTGATTATTGTTTTTGGATTCACAGTAACATTTTGATTTTGATATGATATTTTGTTAATTGAGCAATACATTGTTTGGCTATGGCATAATTTGGTTGTGGTTACAGTAGAATTAAATTTTACTTTATCTTTTTGTGCATAAAGTTGTGATTTTTTGACAAAAGTTTCTTCTTAGGCATGAAAATTAAGACCGATACACCAATAGCAAAGAAGGCTCGAGAAGGGGTGATGGAGTTTCTGCTGATGAATCATCCCTTGGATTGTCCAATTTGCGATCAGGGAGGAGAATGTGATCTGCAGGATCAGTCTATGGCATTTGGATCTGATCGCGGCCGTTTTACTGAGGTGAAGAGATCCGTAGTTGATAAGAATCTTGGTCCTTTGGTGAGGACTGTAATGACTCGGTGTATTCAATGTACAAGGTCAGAATCCAGCATTGCCTCTTCTTATACACCACATATTCACTACATTCTAGTGAACTGTATGATTTTTGGTAAAATTTCTTCTAGTGTAATCTTTTTTATTCTAAAAAAATACACATTTTATCCCTTCATGCCTTGTTTTGAAGCATGAGAAACTATTTACTGAATGATTGATCTATTTCTTGTTTGGTGTTGGTGTATTTTTCATTTTTTTAGTGATGCTACATATTGTCGCAGTTTTACCTCTAAAAGTACACAATCTCTAGTGTTGGTAGTCTATCCCTAGTGGTTTGCGTTCGACAGTGAGTTACTGAATGATTGATCTATTTGTTGTTTGGTGTTAGTGTATTTTTAGTGATGCTAAATATTGTCTCAGTTTTACCTCTAAAAGTACACAATCTGTAAGAGTTGTTAGTCTACCCCTAGTCTATTGCATTTAACAATGAGTTACTGAATGATTGATCTATTTGTTGTTTGGTGTTAGTGTATTTTTAGTGATGCTAAATATTGTCCCAGTTTTACCTTTAAATGTACACAATCTGTTAAGAGTTGTAAGTCTATCCCTAGTGTATTGCATTCGACAGCGAGTTATGACATTCGCAAATCATGTAGTCCATGATGTTTTCTCTAGGTAGAGTAAGTTTTTCAAATTAACAACGTACATCACATTGTTGTTAGGGTTTAAGTTTATCACCTTCTTAAAATAAATTTTTGATATATCAGAAAACAGTTGCATCATTCATCGGCTTGGATAGAGCTCTTGTTTTAATTGTAGTTGCAAGCTTCTGATATAGAAAGCGCGTTTGGTTGAACAGGTGTGTCAGATTTGCAACTGAGGTTGCGGGGGTTCAGGACCTTGGCATGTTAGGTCGTTGGCAGCGGAGAGGAAAATTGGGACTTATGTCGAAAAACTTATGACAAGTGAGCTTTCCGGAAATGTGATAGATATCTGTCCAGTGGGAGCCCTAACCTCAAAACCGTTTGCATTTAAAGCTCGAAATTGGGAATTAAAGGGAACAGAGACCATTGATGTTACTGATGCTGTTGGATCCAACATTCGAATTGATAGCCGAGGTCCAGAGGTCTTGCGCATCGTCCCACGATTAAATGAGGTAGATTTTAGTAGACTACTTTTGATGATTGTTATCTCTGAGACTAATATATGCCAATGATGCTTACACTAAACTTCAAAACTTACACTTGCATAGACTAAGATTTTTAACGTATGATGTAAGGGCTGATATTAGTCATTTTTAATTTCTTAAATATGCATAAATTCAAGTGCCAAGGTAGCTGAGATAAAACAGTTCTGATAATTGATGAATCATTAATTATTTCTTTTATTCTTGTTAATTGGATCGTTTGTTTTATTCATCTGCAAGTTGACAGGTCAAACTTCACTTGCTTGCTTCCTCATCCTTCACCTTTTTTATTTTATTTTATGAACAAACGATACTATCTACACTAAGGGGGTGGGAGAGTGGGCTAAGCCTCACAATGGGCTTACCACTAGACCGTACTACTTTTGAAAACCTTATAAAAAACAGTGGGTTCCCAGAAGAAGATTGGGGCTCTCCAAATGTGAGAGGCTCAATGGAGGGGTTGGGCCCAAAAGCTTAATTGTTGTGAAGTGTGAATGAGAAGGTGAAAAATTAAGGATAAACATCTCAAACAAAGGGGCCTCAACTCTTTGGGGACTTCAGTATGGGCTGCATGTAGATGTTTGGGACTTAAATATTGTCACTAGGCTCCAGAAAAGCTCATGGGAAGACATTATTCAAGGCGTTAATTTGTTTTATTCTTGCTTCCAGTTTTGGTGGGTAATGGGGAAAGGGTGAGGTTTTCATAAGAGTGGTGAGCGGGGTTTAATGCATATGCCTTTCTTTTCCTAGACTGTACAGATCATCATTCTCAAATCTTTTTCATGTACTTTAGTTCCTGTCATCATCCTTTGAGCGAGAATTTTGGGTTTCATAGGAATTTTAATGCTCTGGATGTTCGGGAGCTATTGTCCTTATTAACTTGGTTAATGGGTGTAGTGCTGGTCTTGTACAGGGTGGATAGGGGGAGATGGATGTTGGAGGCCGAAAGTATTGCCTAAGGCACAGGTGTTAGCGTGGTTTACTACTCACTGGAGTGTTAACACTTGTGTTAGCGTTAACCATCTGTTTTTGTACTAGACATAGCATATGTTTTTGGGTGGGAGGAGGGTATGGTATTGAGAAGTTGTGTGATGTCTATTATCTGGGTTATTTCGGTGGAATCTAATACAATGAGTTTGAGAAGTGATTATCTCTGTGAGAGGGTTTGCTTTTGTATTTTAGAGATAATTCTTTCTCTGCATATGCATTTCTTCTCCTAGACTGCACAGATCATTACTCTCATTTCTTTTCCATGATAGGCGTGCTTTAGTTCCTGTCATCTTCCTTTGAGCGAGAATTTTGGGTTTCATTGGAATTTGAATGCTCTGGATGTTCAGGAGCTATTGTCCTTATTAACTTGATTAATGGGTGTAGTGCTGGTCTCGTCTAGGGCACTGGTGCTAGCATGGATTATCACTGGATTAACACTTCTACTATGTATTTGCCTCAGGATGCATATGTTTATGGGTGGGACGAGGGTACGTTACTGAGAAGATCTGTGATGGAAAAGATCCATTTCGCCATAAGGGGCAGTAAACCCATGCATATTTTAGAGAGAGAGAGAGAGAGAGAGAGAGAGAGAGATAAGCAGAAAACCGAGCTATTTCATTCATAGCAGAGCGATAGACACTTCTTACATGAGCTATTAAGTGGTATTAGTGAGATCCCCAACAAATTCATAAGGGTATCTAGATAATAATGTTGCTAGGTGGTATATATGTATAACAGTGCGGTCCTGTGTATATGTATTTACTCAATTCTGTATATGTAATATGTATATCAGTGCGGTCATCTGTATATATATAACAGTGCTGCTATCACTCAATGGACCTCAACAAAACCCGCAACCTTCACTGGTATTCCGCAATCTGTGTGGCAATCTGTGTATTTACAGTACAGTTCAATGCCTCTTATATCATTCATCGCTACATGACCCTACAAATAATCAAAAGAGCACATTATTGTCAGAACTTGCAAACATAAGCTAACAATAAGCAATCAGCAAAACAGACTAACAATGGAAGGCAGCTTGCCTGCTGAACCTTGAGGCTCGACTTAAGTATCTGTTGCCAAAAATATGTCCGAATATGACAGAAACCCTCTCCTTATTGCTGAACACACTGAAGTGTAAATTAAGTAGCACTCCGGGCATTGGAACAATCCGCTGATGGTCTATATTCTCATTTCTAGAAGTCACGCCTATAACATGCCCGTCAAACTCAGCTCTATGCCATTCATCTTTCATTGCCTGTCAAATATTTAAGCAAAATAAACATCAACAATGAAATTTCGGTTACATTGAGAGGTTTCAGGTACCTTGAACGCATCTTGCCCCATTTCCATGATATATTCATAGTCCAATACCATCAAGTCAACCGGCAGACCGCAGCTACAAGCCTCCTGAACACAGTCCATGATATAATCCAGTCGACTCACACAAGTGAAGTGAAATTCAGGATTAACCGCGGATGGAGTCGGCACCCAATCATTTTGAGTAAAGACCTCCTGGATAGTAGACTGAAAGTCTTTATGTTCATCTTCGTCTTTACCTATTTCTTCACCACTGCAGCGTATATCCTTATCTTTATCAACACAAATTAACACATGCACATGAGGGACCTGCCAATGAAGAGGAATAATATAGGTAAGAAAACACGAAATGCAATCTGTTCAATGTTCATGAATTATGCCTGTTTTTAAGGACACAGAAATGTTGCAACATAATAAACCAATCCACAAACTAATAACAAGAGTTAATTAGTTTTCTTATCGTAAGCAAATTCTAGGCAATTACCATGGAATCAATGGCCCAAAAAAATTTACGCAAAGCCTCAAGCAAGCCATCCCCCACTGATTGCACTAGTACTAGAAATATGCCTGAAAATTACATTGACAGCAGTTATAGTTTATGACATACTTTATTATCTGCAAATCGTAATTTTTACATGACAACAACAACAAAGCCTTTTCCCACTAAGTGGGGTCGGCTATATGAATCCTAAAACGCCATTGAATGATAAAATAGTTTACCACTGATTAATTCTGAGAGACTTAATATCCAGCTCTTTGCTCAACTCTTCTGCAGTCATTGCATTACAAAGATCTTGCTTGTTGGCTAGTACAAGCACAACAACGTTCTTGAGTTCATCCTGCAGCCAAATTCAATTCATCGTTATAAAAAAACATAACTCAAATATTTTATATTTCCAAACAATTATTCATGGAAATCATGAAACTACCTCCTGCAACATCCTGTGTAACTCATCCCTTGCCTCCAACACTCGGTTCTGGTCGTTGCTATCTACCACAAAAATAAGACCTTTCTTGTTCTGGAAATGCTGCATGTACAGTGGAGGTATCTGTATTGGGAATATCTAAAACAGTCACTGCCTATGAAAAAGTAGATCTTCTGAAATTAAAAAATCATGATACACATTACAAAAACCATATGTTTACCCACTTCACGGCCTTGTAAGAAATCATTCAAAAATAGTACAAGATAAGAGAGAGGAGCTACCCTGTTTTCACTCCCAACATCAAACGCTGCAATGTTAATATAGGCATGTTTCACCGTCTCAACACTAAATCCTGCAACAGTAAACAATAGGCACAAAATGCATAAGAATTCAGAAGTAGGCATAAAGAGGATAGGGGGCTACGGGCTCACCGGGTGTGACCATCTCAGTAGAGACTCCTTCAGAGTGAATCTTGTTCAAGATGGTGGTTTTGCCAGAACCATTAAGACCTGCCATCAAAATGAGCTTGTCCCTCCGTGATTTGAGGTCTGCCAAAAGGGTAAAAAATTCCAAATCGAGATCCATAGCACCTAAAACAAGTAGAACCAGAGGCATTATGATTAATGACTAACAGAAAAGTTCAGAGGTTATACTCATTGAATGATTTATCAGATGAAGAACTACCAATCACACACCTACTTGATAATTTCAAGAATGTATAGAATTTGAAAATTTAGAGAGAAGATACGAGTAACTAGCTTTCACAAAGGCACCTGCTATCAATACTTACATGCTGAACTGAAGTAGTGTTACATGTCAGTTTCCTAGGAGTTAATTTGAAAATTTAGAGCGGATAGAGAGAAGATAAAGGGAACTAGCATCCAAACATCGGAAATTAAGTAAAATCTATGGTGAGACTGAATTTTAACTACTACTAATGCAACACAAACATCAGTTAACAGTTAAAGATAATTGGAAAGTTGTTGGTTTACATACTAGTACATTCAGTTAGACTTATATTAACTGTAGCAAACCTCTACTTGTATTAGAAATCCATAAGTCACGGCATAGGTTACTAGGAAAATTGCAACTCAATTAACATGGAGGAAGGACAGAATTAGGAATTGCTTCTAGGGCATATACGGAAACAAATTTTCTAACTTTGGTCCCTTTCCAAGAAGGGAGTTACAAAATATCCAGATTCTGCATTCTGCAGAATCCAACTTCTACATCCAGCCAAGATTCAATTCCCAAATCAACATCAAATTAGCAGAAATCCCCAATATAAAAAACCGAGGAACAAAGCTACATTGTTGTCTTCATGACTTCTTGTTTAAGAAAAGTCAGCTAAGTTGCAAGTTGTTTGTTTAGTTACTAGTATGTTTACTTTAACCGAAACATTACTCTACTTTGATAAAGAAATCAAGAAGACATGGCACTAGTTTCTAGGAAAGAGAAATGTAATTAATTAAAACGGATGGAAATGCAGAATTTCGAATTATTTCTAGTGTGGGAAACCAATTTTCAAACTTAGGCTCCTTTCCGAGAAAGAAAGGGTTAGAAATTTTCCAGGTTCTGGATTCGGCAGAATCCAATAACTACATGCATCAACCAACATCCAATTTTTCAACCAAATCCAACACGAAAACAAGCATAAATTCCACTCGAAAAAAGGAGGAACAAAGCTAAAGATACGATACGCAGTTCTTGGAAAAAAAATGTCCAATTACTAGTTCTAACAAAAAAATTCCATAAACCCAGTTGAGAAATCAAAGAAACAATCACATTCAATTACACAAATTCGAGTCTTATATCAGAACCTCATTTGAAAAAAAAAAAAAACCCCAATTCAGAAAGTAAAGAAAAAAAATACACTGCTATGGAGAAATTCGAGTTCTTTAGCAGAAACCCACTTGAAAGAAATAAGGGATTGAAGAAATATCAGCAACCCTAAATAGAAATTTGCAGAAACCCAATTCAGAAATCAAAGAAACAATCAAATTATAAGAAAGAAATTTGCAGAAACGGACCGTTCGGACTGATTAAGCAACCGGGATATCAGAACACATGCAATCCGAAAATCGTTGGCCTTCGCTCCCTCTTCCTGCAGGCTTCAAGGATTGGGATTGAATTTGATATGGTTTTCACTTTCAAGCTTCAAGCTTTAATCTTTAGCTCTCTCTCTCTCTCTCTCTCTCTCTCTCTCTCTCCCCTCCAAGCCTATGGTTTCTTGAAAAATCACTGACGACCTGAAGAAGTTTGTTAAAGGTGCGTTTGTCTGTTACATTTTCAGGCTCTGCCATTTGAGTTCTCCGGAATACAATTTTCCCGCTCAAATTGGAGTTTGAGCAATTTACAATAATGCTTCTTCTATGAGAGATAATTACAAGTTTTACCAGCGACCTCTTCCCCTTGAGGCTCGGTGTGAGGTGGTTACGTGACATGGGTATTTTAGTCATTTAGGTTTAAATTTTTTGCTTGGGCTGTTGGACATCATCCCACACGAGAGTATGAATAGATTTTTTTGATTCTTTTATATTAAAAACATCTCCAACAATTTTGCCCCCAATTGCACTAAAACAGGCTGTTTCGCAAATAAAAACAACGGAATAACCGAAAAACATCTTGTTTATGATTAAAATTGTACTAGCTAGTGTTTTTTTAGCCTATCTAGTTCTACTCGGTTCTTTACTTGGACTAAGATGTTCCCTATTTTTTACGTGTTGGGTTTTCCGAGTTTCTTGTGTCTTGTTGACATGGTTTATTGCACACATTGTTTGAAAAAAAAAATTTGATACAATTGGTGTGCAATGAATCAAATGATCTTGGTCTGAGATTTAACCTTATCAAGGGATTCGTCTATGATAAAAAAAACAAAAAGAAAACTAATAAAAATAGTTTCAAAACTTTGAATTTTATCCAAAGATTACCTAATAACTTTATTTAATGATAATGACAAAAAAAATAAAAACAAAAACAAATAACATTCTAACTATAAACGCGTGCACCACCTCAATCTTCTGCAGCTTCATATTTTTTTGACAAACCAGCAACCAGAAACAAAATTGCATTAATGTTCTTAGAAACCAAAAACAAAATCGCATTGATGCTAATTCAAATTAGATAAAAAAAATCCCAACATAATCCAACACTTCCAAATATCTTTCTATGAACTAACAAACCAGTGTTAAGGTCTTAAGAACAAAGAGTGACAATTAAACAAAAATAAAGCCCTTAATTTTTCTTAATCTCGGAAGAACTTTCATCCTTTCAAAGCTTGAATATTTGCCCTACTTCTCAGACGAGTTGGGTCCCCTCTTCTTTCCGATGCCAACCACGGGGGTGACGGATCTGTGGTTGTATCGCAAGCGTTTGTGGACGTGGCCCTGGGGCTGCTTCTTCTTATCCTGCTTGACCACTTGGGCTCTCTAGCCTCTCACCTCACTGGCGCGGGCCAAGGAACCGTGGACCTTTCCTATGGCTGCGGGCCAAAGTAATGTTAAGTTTCATAACCAGTGTAGCACCGTTAATTTTCATAAACAATGTAGCACCGTTAAGTTTCATAAACAGTATAGTAAGTTTCATGAACAGTGTAGTAAGTTTCATAAACAGTGTAATACAGTTAAGTTTCATAAACAGTCTGTGTGAGAATGCGCGGGTCCGCGCATTAGATTTGTTTTAATTTTTTTTAATATTAAAATTATGTCTTTTTCATTAAAATTTAAGTTTTTTTTTTTTTGTCATTTTTATAAAAATTTAAGAGTTTTTCATTAAAATTTAAGTCTTATTCATTAAATAAAGTTATAGCATGATTTTTTTATTAAAATAAACTTAGCCCAAACATTTTTCATGAAAGTTCCCAAAAATGAATCATAAGGTTAAAGATTCTTGTGTGCTTCTTGCGGACATAAGAACAAGTTAATTAGAGAGACTTTATCAAGTGACTTGCTCCGGATGCTTCTAGATAGTACTAGAAATTTATCCCCGCGCGTTGCTGCGGGATTGAAAATTGTATGAAAGTTTATGAAACTTCATTGTTTTAATAACCAGAGTTTATGAAAATTGTTGAAATAACAAAGATACAATAGCTCTAGGTAGCTATTGTTACCCCTTCGCAGCAGCCTCCTTGTGTAGTACTCTCATTTTTTTTTTCTCCAAGCATTTCGAGCGTATGGCAAGCATTTATCAAAATTGATTTAGAGAGCAATTTAATCGTATCAATACAAAGAATACATAAAGCATTATACAATGAAGAAACATTCCATGTTCCACCACCACCTCTCAAACTAAATTCTAAACTACGCACAAAACATTCCATGCTGTCAAATTTCCAACTATAGCAAAATCTATAGCCTTTGGATGTACACAAATCGGGTGAGCACATGCGGAAGACTATATTTCAATTAAGTTATCTATATGGTGCAGAACAAAACAACTGTACATGTAACTTATGAACAACCGTACATGTAGCTTATAAACAACCGTATATGCAGCTTATCAAAATCCTTTAAAATTGCTAACTGCATAAGTGCATGCATAATATTCAAGTGAGAAAGATATGCCCCACTTTTCAAATAAGAGCAATGAAGTAGGTTCAAATGAAGCACAGAGACTAAAAACATGAGATTCTATGACCCACAAAATCGTTTTTATATCAATTAACCAATCCTTGTTGTACTATAGTTAATGAAGAACAACTGATACTTGAAGATAACTGTCTTAGAATTTATAAATAATACTACAAATAATAGATTTTTCTATATATTAAACAACCACACTGACATTAACTGGTTTTTGTTTATTGATCAATATAAACTGAATTTTCCAGTAAAAAAAATTGATTGAGAAAATGACCAAAATGGAATGATTAGGTAACGATACTTAAAACCTGATCAACATTCAAGAAAAAGGGGTGTGAGAGAGTGAGAAAGTCCAACCGTAATAGTGTGCATGAGATTCCCATAGTACCTTTGTAATCGTATCACCCATAGAGCTACTGAAATGAAACCAACAAATGTGAAATTAAAATATGAACTTGATAAATTTAATAGATATATATACAATCTGATATTTCTGGTCAAGAGTATAGAAGATAAAAGCCTACTGTAAAATGAAAACAATTGTAATCTACAAACTTAAGGGTGCAATTGTAAAACCAAAACAATTGTCAGCCATTAAAAGGTGCAACCAAAGCATATAATCTCATTAAGCTTGAATTTACGTAACAATACGTGGATTGGATCACAATCAAAATTCAAAACCCATTAATAAAAAGAAAGAAGAGAACACAAATAATAAATATAGCAATCTATTAACCTTTAGTGACTCTCAACATGTGCCTGGAAGAAGGCTCTTCCAACATCCTGAAATCATGTCAAGAGTTAAAAAGCAGCAAGAAAAAAATCAATGGAAAAGCTCTGTAAATTTGACGCAGAGCATATTGCCTGATGGAGCCCTTTTATAATCAAGTGGATTAAGTTTTGCTCATATGGTTCCATCATCCAATCTGTCAACTGTCTGAAAGAATGAAGAGTCAGTATCTACATGAGTAAAATCTGAAAAATAATAGCAACAAAATGAGTCAGTTGTTTAAAACAGTGATATACTAAGACAACACCAATACCTGTATATAAACCACAACTTCTGAGACATAGAAGAGTGTATTAAGGAATTCCCACCACGTTTCCCTTCAGAGGTCCACCAGTTCCCTCCTGTATGTCTCACTTCAATGAAAACAAAGGCCACACTAAAATATACTAGTCCAGCATTTTCCAAAAATGATATTCCAAGAAGTTAAATGCTTGAAGAACCTAAGAAGAAGATAATACATAAATTTATACTAAATTGTAATATATAGATCTTTATATACTAAAGTAAACATATTGGACATGTCCAGAAATAAATCTAACCAAAAACTGAAAAATGAAAACCAAATGGTTATCAAATGCACCCCAAAGGAATTACACATTTTTGGATTCATTAAATGGAGTCTTTCAAGACCTCCAACCAAGTGAAACTGGTATCCAAATACAATGCATATAAAGGGATTGTCGATCACTGAAAACTATATGCTTAACAATCATTTTAAGGACCATAGTATCAGTCATTTTATCAAACAGTTAGTAGGCATATTTGTCAAACGGAGCCATCAAACATGCTTACTTCGACCTTAAGCTGGTTCCATTCACATATAAGATGGAAAATTATACCATTCCCTGGAACGATTACAACCAGAGCTGATTTATAGTTGCATATGCAATACTCGCTCACACTTCCTTGTAGTACACTGACGAAATCCCAGTAATAAAGTGAGTAAAAGAATTGTGTGTGTAAGAGAGAGAGAGAGTAGGAATACCTTTGAATGAAGCCTCTGCCTTTGGTACCTAGGATCACATCTGATGGCTTGACTCGTTCTGCTTCGCTGCAAATTATATACACAGAAATTAAAAAACTGAAATATATACACACACTAAAAATTGAAAAAGATTTGAATTCCTATATATCAAATTCCACATAATTTCAAATTGGTACAATGGAACCAGCACGAACCACTTCGGGAAAAGTGATTCATGTTCATCATTTTCCAAATAAATAAGCAACCATTGTAAAATATTGACATGATACAGCAACGAACTTTCTAGGTGACGTTGTATGGAAAATGATGTACATGCAAAGCCATAAGACAAAATCATTCAATAAGATACATAATATTCGTCAATACATGAGGAGTGGATCTACCCACAGTCATTCTAGTTCGTACAGCCTCAAATCATCATCACCAGACGAATGTTAAACATTTAACATGAAAAGGAATCAATTTCCTAAAATTTCAAAAACAAAATACCCAAAAATTAAGAAACAAAAACAAAGAAAAAAAAAACAGAAGAATTAGGTGAAAATACCTTATGTAGGATCTTGAGCACCTCACACGCGTTCCACTTCATCTTCTGGATAGCAAAGAAATCTCCATTCATGAAACCTTTATAAACAGACCCTTCAATCAAGCTATTTCTCTGAACCCATGTGTGGCCTCTCTCAACTTTTCAATCCCAAACTCTCTTGGTACTTGTCCAAGCAAACCATAATAAACTCATTCGAAAACAGAACATCAATTCCACGAAAAATTAAAAAACTTTCTACCTTCAAACATAAAATCTTTCTTTATCTTTCCCAATTGTATTTCTACCTCCATTCTCTCCAACCTAACCTGAGCAATCCATGTTACCAAACAAACAAAACCCAATTCGGTTAATGCTTTATGGGTCATGAAAATTGGCATAAACAGAGATAACCCACCTTTTAATACGCATTTTGGAACCGGAGTCGGAGAATGTGGAGGCTGACGGAGCGATACGGTGAAGGCCGTAGCTGAGATCACATATTCTCAGGTACGATACGAAACAAAAAATTACAAATCCAAAACTAAAAAAATAAATAAATAAATAAGAAACAAACTAAAACATGGGATTGGTGAAGGCCATACCTTCGGAAGGATGGACGCAGAAAGCTCTTAGAGACCGATCCCAACTCAGGGGATGGAGACGGAAACACAGGCCAATATTTTCAAGGTTTTGCGCCGAAGATTGTGAGTTGGGATAGAATGGTCGAAACCAAACTTGCAGGTTTTGAGAAAGCGTTGAGGAATCAGGTTTTCTATGAAGATGGAGAGCGAGAGAGAGCGAGTTGAATGTAGACTGAAGCCCAGAAGCCCAGATTTGCGAGGGAGAAATGGAAACCAAAGGAAAAGTCGAGAAGGTGCAAGCTGGTATGACGATGACCGACGCGTGGCCAAGATGGGTAAAAGCGTCATCTCGCTGTACCAAACGGGCAAGACAAAGGGCAGCAAAGAAGATATCAAAGGGCATTTTAGCCATTACACTGCTCGTGAACAGTGCCTTCTACCGGGTTTTAGTATATAGATAATTTCCTTACCTTGTTCTAGATAGTACTAGCAAGAGAAGCCCGCACGATGTTGCGGGATTGAAAGTTGTACAAAAATTTTGTACGTAGTATTATTTACACACTAAAGATAAAACTTGATGTGTATCCATATTATTTACATACAAAAGATTTAGTAAATAATTCTATTTACATATAAAAGATAATACTCGATGTTCATGTACACAATAGTTACATACCAAAGATTTACTATATTGTCCACTGGTCATTTACTTTGATAGTACAGTGAATCGAGTTAAAACTTGCAGCTTCTGGGAATTGAAAAAGGAGGAAAAGAAAAGTTAGACTATGTGATGTGTATTTGCTTGGCAGTACCATGTGATGCGATGAATATATAATTAAATCGAAGAGATTAGAAGTGTGAATATTAAAGAACATAGGTGTATCTATTCCCAATTTTTTCCCATCCAAATCAACAACATGCCGAATCAACTCAAAAAGTCACATAGATAGGCGCAAACATGTAAAAATGATAGTCCATTGCAATCCATAGTTGGCAATACAAACATATTCTCATCTTACTTAAGCAACAAAAAACACAAACTCATTAACTCAAAACTATCTGATACATGCATATAAAACAGATAGTAACTAAAATGGTAGCTAAAATGGCTACGTATTTTCAATGATAAAGAGCTTAACAGATATTGAAATTTTTATAAATAAGTTGTGTATTTGCTTATGCTATCAACAACTATATTTCCATGTGAACAATGTAAATAAATTTTTATATGAACGATGTATATGTAATTGTCCAACAGTTTTTTCTTGTATATATACATAGATTTGGTTATCTTAGGTTGGGTCAACTTCATCAATATGTTGCTTAAAAGCAAGGATTTTTGTTGGCTTTTTCAAATTACTAATGATGGAATTCCAATGCCTTAGCCAGGTGTATCGAAATTATGTGTTTCGTTTGATCAGCCCTTTGCAATTTTGCACATTGATAAAATTTCAAAATCAATTCCAGTTTGTCATTGCTCAAACAAATTAGAATTTTAGAACCAATCCCACTTAAAAATAAGCAGCTAACATAAATAGCAATGAACAGATAAATGAAGAGGCATAATTGTGATTTGCTTAAAGGTGACCGAGTAAAGAGATAGATTGAAAAATTAACGAAAATAAGGTTGTAACAGGATGAACTGTGTTACCAGATTGCTCAGCTACTGTATTAAATATGAGAAATAGAGTTAAAGAGCAGTCAATAGCGGTTGAGTTCTCTTCAAGTATTTTGCCCTGAGTCTTCAATATGAGAAATAGAGTTAAAGATGAGTAAATAGTAGATTGTCCAAACTTTTATGCGTGGCTAAAATATGTTATTTCTGAAATGGTCTCTCAAACTTTTATGCGTGGCTAAAATATGTTATTTCTGAAATGGTCTCCCAAAAGAAAATTTGGGAATCTAATATGTACATGCAGAAAAAACCCAACAGCCTAAAAAGATGAGTATATGTAGTAGCAATCGTGTAAGAGTAACAATACTGGAAAAATTAAAACGCTACTGTAAGATCTAATAAAAATTGAAGTAAAAGAAAGGATCTAAGATGTGAAAGACGTATATACCATGTGTGTTCTACGTTTGATGTGTAATGTAAAAGTGCCAGTGGCTAATGAGTAAAGGCTGATGGCATTGATCCTTTCTCAGAGAAAATGGGAAGAAGGATCTGCAAAAGAGTGAGAGAGTGGACTATGTTGTATTTATAGGACGGTAATTGATAAAGGCAATAGTGGATCATAAGATGAGATTGACTTACAGCAGCGACATATTTGTTATTAGGATGGTCCTTGTATTTCACTCTGAAATGCTTCTTATATAAAACTGAATGAAAAATTAATAGAAATATAATTACAAAAATTAAATCATAGTAAAAAAACAATCGATTTGAAGAGAGAGAGAGAGAGAGAGAGAGAGAGAGAGAGAGAGAGAGAGATAGACAGATACAGCGTTGATCATACATGAAAACGATGAAGGCACTTGTAGGCTTCTTAGGATTATTTGGATCCTTTGCAGCCTTCTTGCTCGTGGTAGCGCTTTTGCTCTTTAACCTATCAAAATTTAAAAAAAAAACACAAACAAACCACTACTATTATCTTGCTCACTCTGTCCAGATTCCATGATTCCAAATAAACCAAAAGGGTTAAAAACAAACACAAAAAGAATAAGGAAACATAAAACCTAGGTAAATTTTCACAAACAAATTAGCAACAATTTTCCATTAAGAAAAAGAAGAGGTAACACTTGTCCCTCAAAGAATAAAAAAAGAATGCCCACAATTTTGTTTGGCAAATACTCCAGCTTTGTATCTTCCTAACATAGGATCTATTCTTTTCCTGTAAGAAATATTACTATCTCGATGCTCATTGGAATATAAGGGAATGCATGTTATTTTCACATTTTGAAAATAACTGAAGTTCTTACCAAAAAAAAAGTAAATTTTTTTGCAGTCTGTCTTTGCGTACCAACAATGTGAAGCCAAAGTGACAATGCGAATTCACATTCCAAATTGAAGGAAAAAAAATGAAAAACAAAAGATACCAACCTTTTTGTCCAATCTGATAGCTGACAATTTAACTAATGGGAATATATTTTTCTTTTGAAAATTGCAATTGTGTTCCCCAAAACAAAGTGCAATAAAACTGAAGAAGGCATTTGAAGATGAAATGAAGCCCGGGTACAATAAAAACAAATGAATTGAAATTTAGATAACCAAAAGCAGATTACCAAATGCTTTTCTTAATTTCCTGTTAACATGGTAACACATCATCACGTTCACAACCACCAGTAGCAGACAAAAAGATAAAGTTAGGATCAAGTTTAGATGAATTGATTCAAATCCTCCTTTAGCAATCTAATGACGCATAAATTAAGCAGAGAAATCACTTCATAAACCCTAATTACTAGAAAAGAGGAATCGTTGAAAGGGAAGCTCATCACTGCTATCATAGGGCTTGAGCACAGAGGGCGTCGGAGGCTGAAAACAAAAGCCCAAAAAACAAAAATCCAGGGTCTCCTGAAATTGAAAATAGACTGAAATTAAACACTCACATGTAGAATCGGAGGCTACAAACAAAACCCCCAAAATCACAAAAAGGAAATTTGAACACAAAATCCATTTGTAAATCCAAAATCACAAAAAATAAATTCAAACAAAACAAAACCCCCAGATGATATCGATATTGTTCTAATAACAATAGAAAACCCAAGACCGAGAAAGCCGTAAATCTCACCAGGAAACAGGTGCTTTTCTGAGTAAAATTTTCTTCGAATCAAACTCAAAACCCGAAGAAAATTATACTGTTGGTTGATTTTTCACCAAGAAATTCTATTGGTTCGTTGGTAGCTTGTGAGAAAAAGAATGCAAGGTTTTAGAGTGAGAGAAGCTAAGCTTGAGCGCAACGCGAGTTCGAGAGAGAAGTGAAAAACTCTAGAGGTTGTAGACAAAACAGACTTCTCGAAGATGATAGATGGGTAGCATTGACAAACATGTAATTTCACTGTACCAAGAGAAAAAAAAGAACTGAGTGGCTGAGGTTATTTCTATCATTTCACTGATAAGGAAATGATGTTGGGATTACCAAAACTCAAGAAGTCATCTGGTGTATGTGAAGGATGCATTGCAGGAAAGCAAAACAGAGATGTCTTTAGTAAAGAGCTAATTTGGAGAGCAAGCAAGCCTTTAGAATTAATTCACTCAGATGTTTGTTGACCAATACAGGTCACAACATTTGGAGGAAGCAGTTATTTCTTAACTTTCATTGATGATGCAACTAGAATGTGTTAGGTTTATCTTCTGAACCACAAATCAGAAGTGTTTAAAGTGTTCAAAGAAATTCAAAGCCATGGTTGAATTGCAGAGTGGCTAAAAATTCTAAAGTTAAGAAGTGACAGAGGTGGAGAGTATAACTCTCATGAATTTAATCAATTCTGTGAAGACTTGGGGTTGGAGAAACAGTTGACTGTAGCTTATTCTCCACAGCAAAGTGGTGTTGCTAAGAGGAAGAACAGAACCATTGTTGAAATGGTTAAGAGTATGCTTCATGACAAGCACACGTCCTATGAATTCTGGGGAAAAGCTATTAACATAGCTGTGCACTTGCTCAATAGATGTCCATGTAAAACCATTTTGTGAATGACAATGAATTATGCCGAGAATAATTGAGGGAATAGTTGACTTGGCAATCAAGTTAATGAAATCTCTAGGACTCTCGGTGCCTTAAGGAAATAAACATATTGGAGTCCTAATTACATGCAATCAATTAAGGGGCTTTATTAAGTAAATACAAGGAATAAGAGTCATGATGGGACTATAATTGATGAGATATGATTTGGGTTGATATCATTTCCGATAATAGGGAGGAATTGATTGAAACCCTAGCTATATAACCTAGGAGCCGTCCCTGCTTCCATACCGATAGAAACTCACGAAAACTATAAGCCTATTTCGATAGTAGAGTTCATTGAGAGGTACTGGAAGTAGAAGACTACTTCTACTTTGTTCGCAAGAATCAATGGCTTCACCTTCATATCATGTCTTCCGAATTCTACAGATAAGTTCAATATAATTAGTCGATCTCTATTTCATATTGATTTGATTTATTCGTGATCCTAATATCTTGTTGTTGTGATTTCAGAATATGTCTTACATGTGGTATCAGAGCCGCACAACAAGCTTAGGGTCCGATATAAAGGTATAAGCAAATTTGTTTATTGAAGATGATTCACAAACTAAAGAAAATTTGCTTATCGTTTTGGTTGGATGCCTTCTACTGTTCCAT